TTGCATGCATGGTGAGAATGAACAAGTCTATTTGGAAATTATGATTCTACCTGCGAGGTCAGACTATTTAGACTTGTTACTTATTAATGTATGATTATAATGATGCATGAATTAGATTGCATGAGCCTTTAAGCTAGTCTTTAAAACTTAGTGGATACTATGAAATGAGATAAAACCACTAGTAAAGACTAAGGTAGTACTACTAAGGCTAAGGTGGTAGTGTGAGGCAAAAAATATATATGCTTAATAAGATACTATTGTGGGTAAAATTATCAAGCATAATTCTTTAAGAAAGCCTTAAGAAAGAGAAAATCTATAAATAATTTATTGGAAAATAGTGTGATGAGTATGAAAGTGCATGTCTAGGATTGGTTCTATGAAAACTTGGTACTTAAGCGTGCCTAGTGCACCACCTCTCTTTCATAGAAACCTACCTGGTGCATTGTTCATTACTATGCTCACTATTCCAATTTATAAAATATTATGACAAGATAAAAACTCTTAAAACTTAGTACAGAAGTTAAAAGAGTCGAGATTAATTTGGTTGAGTAGAATACCAAATTTAGTCATAGTAAATAAAATATATGATGATCTCTTTAAGGCTAATATGTTGAATATCATGAATGAGTATATGATAGACTCTATTGCTACTAAAAGTGTGTTGTAGCTATTAAATCTCTAAGTGATTTTCCTAAGTAGAGGAAAGAAAAAAGATTATCTATTTCATAATGGTTTATGCATTTTAATCTTAATAATTTGTAACTTCTCAAAACTTTGAGAATTATGTGTAAACAAAACTTGAGTTTGTTAAAATATAGTTTTATGGCTAAAACTCGTAACAAACTTTACTCTAGTATGAGTGAGTATTTGTTTACACGTTTTACAAGACACTTATGGATATCCTAAAATGTTAGAAATATGGGGGTGTCTTAAAATGTATATTAAATGCATAAACTTAAATAGAAAATATTCTATCAACTTCTTCTAGTATTCCTGCTAGGTCTTCTCAAGAAATTGATTTCGAGACTAGAAGAAGTAAAAGGATATTTGGACCAAATTTTATCACTTTCTTTATTTCTGAGATAAATGATTTAGACTCTATTTCTGATCATATAGCTTAAATATTATAAGAGGATCCTAAAAGGCTATAAGATCTATCGATACTAGTTCTAGAAAAGCGCTATTAATGCTAGAATCGATAATGTCTAATCATACTTGAGAATTAGTTGACTTGCCTAGAGGATTTAAACCAATCTGTAACAAATAAATCTTCCGGAAGAAAATGAGACCAGATGGTTTGATCCAGTGGTATAAGGCAAGGCTAGTTGTCAAAGGGTTCACTCAAAAGTTTGTTTTAGACTACTTTGATCCTTACTCTCCCGTTATGAACATCTCAATGATCCGTGCATTATTTGCACTAGTCTCCATTCATAAGTTGCGAGTACATCAAATAGATGTTAAGACAACATTTTTGAAAGGAGATCTAGATGAGGAGATCTATATGAGAACAATGGTACAAGAAATTTCATAAAACTATACTTAGTTTTGGTTTTGTTGTAAATGGTTCGGATGCTTGCATGTATTCAAGGATGTTTGATACTAATTGCGTCCTCATAAGTTTTGTATGTTGATGACATGTTGATTTTCAGTTCTAACATTGAGTCCATTAACAAAACAAACGGTTTCTTGTCCACTAAATTTGAGATGATGGATCTGGGAGAAGTTGATGTAATCTTAGGAGTCAAAATTACTGAAAAGGGATTTTCTTTATGTCAAACACACTATCTTGAGAAAGTGTTAAAGAAATTTGACAGTTTTGATGTCGTTCCTGTTCGAACTCTTGTGACACTAGCATATATCTCTTTAAGAATAAAGGAAGTAGCGTTTCCCAAACAGAATATGCTAAATTAATCAGAATTTTAATGTTCTTAAAGAACTATACTCGGCCTGATATTGCTTATGCTGTGAGTAGACTAAGTAGATATACTCATAATCCGAGTGGTGAACACTGGATTGCTCACGCTTACTGAAGTATCTTAAGTGTACTTTGGATTGGAAACTTGAGTTTGTTGGCTATCCTGCGGTACTGAAAGGATATTGTGATGCCAACTGGGTTTCTGATAATGATGAGGTAAGCTCTATGAGTGGGTATGTTTTTACTTTAGATGGAACATCAATCTTGTGAAAATCATCAAAGCATACATGTATTGCTCATTCTACCATGGAGTCAGAGTTTATAGCTCTTGACCTAGCTGGGCAAGAAGCTGAGTGGCTTAGAAGCTTGTTAGCAAATATTCTGTTGTGGGGAAGACCGACTCCTCCAGTTTCATTGTTGTGTGATTCACAAGCTGTGATATGTGTGGTTAAGAACCAAGCTTACAATGGTAAGAAAATACACATTCACATAAGACATGAATCAATTAGACACTTAATAAAGAATGGAGTGCTCTCTTTAGAGTATGTAAAGTCGAAAAAGAACCTAGCAGATCCACTTACCAAAGGGTTAAGTCGGAAGTTGGTCCTAGATTCGTCGAGGGGGATGGGTCTAAAGCCCATTGATTGAGGAATTCATGGTGGATACCCAACTTAGTTATCTAAGTTCCATGTGGTCAAACGAAACCATGGAAAGACTCATAGTGCTCATTCATACTGCCTATCCCTATGACAAATAATGTGCATGCCCAGGATGAGCTTAAGTGCTTTTAATAAATTCATAGCCCAGACTTTGGGTGGTCTTAGTGAGAAAGACTTGATGAATTTACCGATTTTGGCTGAATATCTATTCTTAATAAGTTCATAACCTAAAGTGAGTGGGTATTCCTAAATGAGAAGGAAATAATGAACTTACCGAAAGAAATGTTGAGTTTGTTAAACTCTTAATAAATTCAAATCCAAGTATTTGGATGGTTCTAGTGAGAATGACTTATTGAATTTACCGATTATTGAGGATGAATATTTATTCCTAATGACTTCTTAGCCCAGAGTTTGGGTGGTTCATTAATAATGAACTTGAAGAAAGTCACTATACCCTTTGTGAGGTTGAGCTATTGTAAAAGCTCTTAATTATTTCATATCCTTGTTAAGGGTGGTTTATATCGAGATAAACTTGATGAAATAACCTATGTAAGTGAGAAGGGTTAGCCACCTTCTATGAAAAATGTTGGGCCATTTTTCTAGCACACTTACTAGAATCCTGAGGTAAGATGGCCAAATATATACTTTTGTATATATATATCTAACACATCGAGGACTCAGGTGGATGAAGGGGTTAGTTGTGTGTTATGAGTTTACCCCCATCTTAGAAAGTTCTAGACTAGTTTCACTTATCTAAGAGAAGGATTGCTCATCATCACTATGTACTAGTTCCAGATACGTTCACTAGTGCTTAAGCAACTAATCTCGCTATTGCTCTTCTGGAAAGATTGTTTTCGAGTTTCAGAAGAATTCTTTCGCATTAGTGAGGGAATGTTGGTAATGCTCAATCCCACATAGAGTTGGAAATACTAGTGGGAATGGTATTTAAGGTTTACATTCTCCATTCCCTTGTTGAGTGATAGAGAACAAGGCGTGGTAATACGTGTCTTTGACACGTCCACACGAATAATATCTTTTTAGAGAAAATTCGTAAGTAATTTTTCTGTGAAAGATTAAATGAAAAATGTGAAAGATTCATCTGATATTTATAGGCTACTGAGACTGTTAAAGTTCGAATATTTCAGATGATAACAATTGATTATTAGTTGTTTGAAATTAAATAATTTAACAATTATTTTTCTAAATTAAATCAGAATTTAAGATGTATCTGGACTGATTTCCAGCTTTATTCATAGGAGAGACAAGCTGTTAATATCAGGAGTTACATGAGTTATATGATTTAATTTCAGGAGTTATAACTGTTTAATTTTTATGCAATGAACATGGACTCTTTTTTGAGTCAGATTCATCAAGAGGAGTTACAAAAAAGGGTTTAAATTCAGAATTAAAATCAAATTTAATTTGATTTTCTTATTGGACGGATTTACCCTTACTTCTAGCCTATAAATAGAGAGCTAAATTCATCTTCTCAATACACACTCTCTACAATTAGAATTCACTCTCCAAGTGTTTTCTAAAGTTGTTATCTCTGTGCTTTCCGATCAGAAGTGCAATACCACCAGCAGTCCACTCCGGTTTCGGGTGTACGGAATTTGGAGCGACCGTGTTAACCTCGGGGGACGGTCCTCCTACTGCAGCGATTACACACATCGGGACGAATTCGTTTATAAGGTAGTGGTTAATACCACGACACGGTTAATCGGTTCTTTATTTATATATTTCAATATATATTTTTCTAGTCAATGCTAATGTCTCGTTTTGCAGCAGTCTATTTTACTAAAAGTAGACTCACCCGCCAAAACTAAGTGTGCGATCCGAGTAGATCCAGATTAATCAAGAAAAAATCTTGGAACTGGAGTGCAACAAAAAAAAAACCTAAATTTTTGAAGTAAATGAAGAATTCTATATGCATGGCGTGGATCTGAATAAGCTATCAACGTCTAATTATTAAATCCGACTGCAAACAAGCATTGCAGAGCCTTTGGATCGACTAGCAGACTTTATTGGCAGAGCCTTGGATACCAACAAGTTTACTTTCTGTTACCAACATGTTTACTTCTGTTGTTGTCGAACCTTATATTATTTATGATCGGCAACATCGGATGTAATTGATAATAAGACAAGCCTAAAATGATCATTACTACGAACATAAGATGATCCAAACAAAACATACAATAAAATCCATTAAAACAATTATAATTCCAAAAAGACAAAATATGAATAGTGCAATAATTGTTTGCATGTCGGCAGCTGCAAGCCCATCGTCCACACTGGTCCGAGAAAGGACAGGGAAATCAACCTATTGAACGTGGCAGACGGCAATTGGCTACTGAATAGAAGAAGTCAGTAGTATCATTTGGAGAGAATCACTCCCTTAGGCACATACAACAGTCTATAAATAGCGATTATGAAACATAAAACAAACCACCCCCACTTGAAAGCTAATTATTGATTATTTTTAGTCAAAGAGATCATCTTCTTGTTGAAAACAATGGCATCCTCAGGTACGACCGGTAAGCTCGATATCTATGTGGAGATCAAGGCATCTCCCCAGCAGTTTCACGACATGTTCACCAACAGACCGCACCACGTGCACCATACTAGCAGTGACAAGATTCAAGGATGTGATCTACACGACGGTGAATTCGGGAAAGTCGGCACCATCCTCAACTGGACTTATGTGCATGGTATGATACAATCATATAAACATAACAAACTCAGAATTCTTTTTCATTCTCGATTGATTTCTTGCTCTTTTTCTTCGTTAATAGATGGAAAGGCTAAAAAGGCAAAGGAGTTAGTGGAAGCTGTAGACCCTGCTAAGAACTTGATCACTTTTAGAGTGCTGGAGGGAGATCTGCTGGAAGATTACAAGAGCTTTGTATTCGCCATTCAAGCTTCCCCCAACCGCGGGGGTAGTGGCAGTGTAGTGCACTGGACTTTGGAATATGAGAAGCTTCATGAAGGGATTGACCATCCTGAGAGTATGGTGGAATTCGTGAAGGATCTCTCCATTGACATCGACGCTCATCTCACCAAACCAAACTAAAGGCGTCTTGGTTTCAGTACTACTACTTGAAGCACTTCTCGTCTAAGTAAGGAATAAATCCGTGGCTGTCTTTCTTATTTGTTTCAGTATATGTTTCGATGGATAGAGTGTTGAAGAGAGCGAGCTTTCTGTTTTATTGAATGTTAAGTGATGTATGAGATTGAATGTATCTATGCTTCTACTTGTGTGCTAAATATATTAGTGTGTTTTAATAATTTATTTCCACTTTTTTCTTTCATTTTTGAGCTTTAAATTTTCCAAAGATTATATAAGTGAGATTTGTTATACCTTAGGATAATGGTATCCGAAAATTATCGACTGTTAACTGAGGATCCTGGATAAGATCCTCTAATTATTGGAACCTTCAAGTAACCTAACAATTAAACATACACGGTTGAAAGGGACACTCCATCTCCGGCCTTTTTTTCCTCCAATACTTAGTTCTCCCATTGAACTTAACCTTCAGAACAATTAATCTGAATCCATATAACAAGAGACTATTCAATCTTTTCATGGCTCTATTCGCGTCTTGTATATTCTAGAATCTAACAAACCCAAACCTTTTTCCATTTTTTGTCTACTCTTCTAGCTATAAAAGAGTCCACCAGTTCTCCCATTCTTCCAAAAACTTGTAGCAAACCGCTTCAATGGAGAGCCGGTAGTATATTAGTCACGAGCGGCGATACCACCATTTTCGGTTGCAACCCGGCGAGAGAGTATTCTTTGTCTAGTACTATCTTATCTAAATCCACGATGACAGAAAGTTTTGATTATATATTTTAATATAATATTAAATATTTTGATTTAGAGATTTAATATAACATTAGAAATTTCGATAACATCTTCATAAACATTGGTATCGCTTTACCAATTTTCTAACGTACCCGATTAACAAGTTTGGAATTTTATTTTATTCAGAAACGTATATTGTAGATATTGAATTTCGTTTAAGTCAATGTTCACATGATAAGTTCATTTTTGTTCCAAAAAAATATGTGATAAGTTCATTTTGTACGAAGGACTAAAAATAATATTTTTAAACCCGTGAAAATAATCATTGATCAGAATTTAATTGGATTAATGTTATTTTGAACAAAATTTTGTGAACTTTAATTTGGACATTTACTTTGTTCTAACGTAATTCTGTATGGGTAACTCCATTCAAATCGGATTAAGCTTGACTAACGACCACGCTGAAGTTATTTGTGTAAGGTGTTCGAAATAATTGAAATTGCATTAGAATGATTCGTATTGAATGGATCTTAATTGCACGTGGGAACAGTGGATGTTAATTGCATGTGGAAAGAATAGATGGTGAGAGCTCTTGTTGGATTAAGGATTTCGAGATGTTTACTTGAACTTGAATCTTGTGGAAATATTGGTGAATTTGAGAAAAATATGCAAATGGTGAAATCAAAAGCAAAGGAAAAACCCGAATAAATAACCCAGTTACCCATCAGCCAATATTAACCCACACCCATTTGCAATTTTACAATTAATCAAAATTAACCTATTTACAACATCCATGTAACCCAAACCCATTACACTTCATACCAGACCCATTTACATAACCCGAAGCCCAACATTTAAGGTTTCGTAAACCCTAGTAAGGGTTCTCAAACTATCTGTCGCCACCAAACATGCACCGCCAGATCTGGACCCATCAACAGTCCAGATCAAAAGTGGGTTAGGGTTTGTAACCTTCATCCTCTTCATCTCCCGTCGCCAGGAGATTCTAGAAGCTTCCATCACTCACAAACCACCACGGTAATGGCCGCGTCAGCGGATTCCCGTCCGACGAGGCCTCTACGTCATCCAAAACCACGTGAATCGATCTCCTTTTCCATGCCAATAATCATCACCAACAAAATGTGACAAGTAGTCCCTGGCCCTCTCATGCTGCCACGATTACGACCCTAGTGTGAACAGGGGTCACTTTCAAGACAATCCTTTGACAAAGGCAGAGGGAAAATGATAAATTAAACGGTTATGGCATAGGGCACACCTGCGCTCTCAGCAGATCACATGCAAGCAAAAGACAAAAAGAGAGGAGTTGTAATTTTCATTTTTTTTCCTTAAAACAGTTTGTAAACCTGGGTATTATATAAACCCACAAACATTTGTAAAAACACACCCTCTCAATTGAAAAGCCATTGTAAAGGGATCTCTCCCTTCTCCTTCTTCCCTCATTTTTTTCGAATAAACAAAGCAATGTAAAAGGGTTCTCCACCCTCTGATTTTTTAGCAATACAACGGTGGAGATGATAAAATGAAGGAAAAAGAGAAGAAAATGGGTTTTTATAACCCAAGTCAAACGGTGCCGTTTTGACTCCCATGCTTAATGCATTTTGGACCGAATAGGTCTAATCATTTTTTGTCACTATAAGTTTCATCAGTTTTCGTTTTGGTCACCTATCTCGCGTGAATTACTTAATTAATTTGTAATTTTGTCATTATTTTGCTATTTATCATTTTTAAGTTTTAGAACTAAATTTTAGTTTAATTTCTTTTAGGTCTCTCTATTTTAAGCGTGCTTTTGCATATTGGGTCCCTGTTTTATCATTCAATCACATATTTAATTTTGTGTCTCTTTCAATTTAGTCATTATCTTAATTTGCTCGTTTTATTAGGTTTTAACCCTTGAACATTTCTATAAATTTTAATTTAGTCCTTGATTTTAATTGATTCATTTAATAGCAGCTCAGTCCCTATTTATTTATTTCAATTTGGTCATTGTATCATTTATTTTACTAACTTCTCAATTTATTTTATTTTGAGGAAGTTTGAATCAAAACTTCTGATGTTATTTATTACTTTAATTTTCTTTATTTATTTAATTATCTAGTCTTGTTTATTTTATTTTTTAATTTATTTATTCTTTTTCTTTAAATTATTTATTTTAATTATTTTAATAATCATTCCAATTTCCCTTTTTTATTTCTTTTTAAAGACGGTCATTAAGATATTTTCTTTAAATTCAATTTATTTTATTTTAGCATGTTAATAATTATATCTCATTTTTAATCCTTTAGGTTTAGATTTTTCACACTTTAGATTTAGTCCCTTGGATGTAGACCTATCACTATTTTATCCCTTAAACTTTAATTAGAACTTCCAAATTGGCATAATTGATTAAATTACCAACTAGAACCTCTACCTTAGGTTTAATTTCATCTTAGTTCTTTAATTAGGGGTGGTTCGATTTGGGCTTTCACATGAAAATACCTGATTGCTCAAATCAATTAACCGTTCCATAATTGGTTAATAAAAATAATAGGGTTAATATTAGAGACTTCATTAGTCCATTAGGTTTTTTAATTTCATAATTTGGCACTTTAGGTTAGGTAATCCTTTAATAAACTCACCTAGCATAATTAGGTTATTAAACATGTTGATTGATTCTATTTTTGTTTCAAACACAAGGAAATGTAGACTTATTAAGGAATTAATGGTATAGTTCCTGCAATCATGCTCTTGGGGTGACTACAAGTAATTCCCGAACAAGGTTAACATCCTTTTAAAAATCTCTTCATTTTTGAAATCTCGAGGCAATGTCTGGTTATTGAGCACAATAATCGATCTCCCACGTTCATTCTAGGGGGTGAATATTATTGGCTTTAATAAATAAACACCCTCTTTAACTTTGCATCCATAGTGCTTTCTAAATTAAATAAAACTTCGAACTCCAAATTTCAAAATTTTAAAATAATAATCAATTAGGTACCAATTTTTGGGTATTGTGGTTGTGTTAACCCTTCCTCACACGTAACTGACTCTAGAACCTATTTTCTAGTTTTCACATACTTCAAACTCGGTGTTCTAAAAAAAATAAAATGTTTTATTAAAATTACTCGATTTTTATGGTGTTCCAATCGCACCTTAAAATGGTTGGTGGCGACTCCCAACATTTCCTATAATCATTTCAAAAACACTTCAAAACCCCTATCGTTGCATCTCGTGGGCCTTTCCCCCAAGGGGTCGGTTGTGACAGCATGTCGACTCCACTAGGGAATATTTTGTTTTCTAAAATAAATTGAGAGACGAGCCACATTTTGATTACCCTACATTTGGAATTTGGAAATTTTGAGTTTGGATATATTTAATTTACATTTCATTATGTTATTTTAAAACATGAAAAAAGATTTTCTCTCTGGTTAATGATTATACTTCTATGAATATATTTATAATGGTTGCATATCATAGCTCTATAGTAGAGCTTCGTCCCGTTTTACCTAAGTTGGGGAAAAGTCACACCTCACATGAGTATTAAGCTTCCTCATGTGGGTTTGACAAACTACCTTTGGAAAACATTTTAAGTTGACTGCCGAATATTAGTTTCGAGATACGTATTTAGTGGTGTGACCCCCTTAGCTAAATACGATTTGCAAGTCTATAATAGGCCAGAATCAGAATCTTTATTAACCTTAGCAGGTTGTAAAGACAATTTAGTAACCCTTTACTAGAATCGAACTTCATATAGAAAATTTAGTAAATTCACCCCTCTAAAGCCATGTGGATAACCTAAGAGAATTAGAACACATGCGGTTATTACTTCAATTTCCTTTGTGTGCTTTATTTTTCAGTCTCATCTATAAGTTGTATATAATTCTTTTTTTTACCTTACATTATCATTTCTACTAACCTGATTTCTTTTTTCTTGTCTTGTGCTATGTTGTATTTTTGCATGAACATGACATATCATTCAAAGGTACTGATCTCTGAAATAACTAGTCATTTAGAAAGGTTCTTGAAAAACAACGCCTACAACAATGTCTTTTGTTGGGTTAGATAGAATTTCAAAGATCCCCAATAGATTGAGTAGCATCAAGAGATAGTTTTCCTCTTGAGGAGACAAGTTGGACTCAAGAAGATATTTAACCATCTTAACATGTATTCATCCTGGAGCATAGAAGTACCTCATGGTGATTCCTATTTTGAAGATAAATTAAAGTCACCCCATTCGTACCTAAAGAAGAATTGAGATCCCTGGATGTGATGTTAATACCATATATAAAGTTTGGGGCATACCATTGAGATTCGTGGGGCACCGAAGAGCAAGGTCCAGAATTTGATTGACTTAGGGCCACTGACATTCAACGCGTAATGAGACATTCTAACACAAATTAAGAAGTTCTTACATCAACTGTGAAACCTTATTGCAATGACATTGTCCTGATTGAACGTGTTTTTGTTCTTTCTTTTTGTTTTCTTAAAT